TTTCATGCTTAAAGATCGCTGCGTGATCGATCCCTTGGTCACATGATCAAAATTCAGATACTTGGCAGCTGACTCTTATTTATGATGGTTGCAGTGTCCCAGATCCCTTTTTGAGACCTTCTGGTAAGCAAAGTCAAGGGACAAGCCAGATTCACTTAACAACTGTGTTACTAACTTAACAACTACAGCAATAAAGGTTGTAAAATGAGTCAAAATGCACTTAACAACCGTCTCGCTTAGCAACAGAAACTTGGGGCTCAATTGTGGTCATATGTCAAGGACTACTTGTAAAAAAGCAGTCCTCAACTTATAACCAGAAATGGGACCAGAATTTTTATTGCTGGGTGAGTCACGCTTGATGTACAACCTTTTTGCCACAGGGGTTAAATGAATCACTGCAGTGAAGTGGATTATGCAGTGGTTAAGCGAATCCTGCTTGATTTTGCTTGTTGAAACCCAGTTGAAAAGGTCATAAATGGTGATGACATGATCCTGGTGCACTGCAAAAATTGTGAATAACGTATTGGTTTCCACATGCCTGAATGTTGATCATGTGACCATGAGGATGTTACGATGCGTGTGAGGACTGGTTGTAAGTCACTTTTTTCAGTGCTGTTTTAACTTTGCACAGTGACTAAAGAAATGACTGTAAGTCGAGAATTACCTCTATGGGACATTTCTCCCAAGGTTTCCTAATGTTTCATGTGCTTCTGTTTATTTTGTCCTTTTCCTTGCAGCCTTGCTATGAGAAGGTGAAACGTTGGCTAGCAGAGAACATCTTTGCAATGGGCATTTTTGCTGCCTGTATCATTGTTGTCCAGGTGAGATGATCAGAGCACTAGTGGTAGATGGAGTAACTTAGACCAGTGTTTTTCTCAATCTTGACAAGTTTAAGATATATGGGCTTCAACTCCAGAATTCCTCAGCCAGCATGCTGGCTAGGGAAATCTGGGAGTTGGAGTCCACACATCTTAAACTTGCTATGGTTAAGAAACGCTGCTAGATATCTAGCAAGGTTTCCTTCCAAGATCTCTATGCTCACCACGTAGAATAGGTGTGGGGAACGATGGCCCTTTTATGACTTATGAGCCAGCAGTGTGCAGCAGCCGCCAAAAAAGCTAATACAATCTTTGGTTGTATGAACAGAGACATAGAGTCAAAATCATGTGAAGTATTGGTACCATTTTAAATAAAGCCTTAGAAAGGCCACACCTGGAATATTGCACCCAGCTTTGATCACCACATTATAAAAAAGACATTGAGACTTTGGAAAAAGGGCAAAGAAGAAAGAGCAACTAAGATGATTAAAGCCTGGAGACTAAAACATATGAAGAACGGTTGGAGGGTTTGGCTAGTCTAGTAGACAAGAAGGACTAAGGGGGATATGATAGCAGTATTCCAGTATTTGAGAGGCTGCCACAAAGAGGAGGTGGGGGGGACGACTTATTTTTCAAGGCACCAGAGGGCAGGACAAGAAACAATGAATGGGAATCTAGTCAAGGAGAGAAAAAACTGGAATTAAGGATAAACTTCTAACAATGGGAACAATTAACCAATGGAACACCTTCAGAAGTTGTAGGTGCTTCATCACTGGAGGTTTTTAAGAAGAGACTGGACAGTAGCTTATTTGAAATGGCATAGGGTCTTCTGCTAGAACAGGGGGTTGTACTAGAAGACCTTAAAGGTCCCTTCCAACTAATTGATTGATTTGAATTCCTGAGCCAGCCATGCTGGCTCAGGAATTCTGGGAGTTGAAGTACACAAATCATAAAAGGGCCATCATTCCCCACCTCTGACATAGAACAAGATTATCCTAACCTCTTAGGAAGGTTTTTTCCCCCCTGACTTTCTCAAAATTACACCTGCAAATCTGAGTGCACAATTTTCAGCTGAATGAGGAACAAGCAGAAATGGTCTTGCAGTCTTTCCTTGGACTATGTACTATTTTTTTTTTTGCTTAATCCTCTTCAGCCTAAAACGGACATTTAAATCTTTACCTGCTCAGGGGATACCTCAATGTCCCCTGCTGCACTTGGATGATAGAAATGTGTACAATAAAGTGTGCTTCTTTCTTTTAAAAAACGGAGCTACCTATCATGAGAAAAAGAGCAAAGACCAGGTAGAAGAAAAGCCATTTACAGCTCATTAAGGTTATAAAGGTTCCACAAAGACAACATCATATTTAGATCATAATATAATAGGAAAGGTGTGCAAGACAGCAATGAGATTAGAAGAGCAGTTTGTACATTAAATATAAAAATAATGCAAAGGATTTTTGGCCAGTTGTTAAAAACCAGAACCAGTGACTGGTTCCAAGATTTCATCAAGCATACATCATAGTATTTATCTGGGTTTTAACATATCTAAACTGCAAAACTTTCAACAGCCACTGGATGGCAGGAAAGAAGTAAATTTTCAGCATTTCTCTGCCGACACCTGTCGTTTGCATAATCTTTATAATGCAGTAGTCATAGCCTAGCTGCAGATCTGATAGACTAGAAGGAAGACAATAGAATTGGGCTTAAAACTTTCTAAATGTGACCAACCCAAAGAAAATATTTAGCTCACTAAGATTTGTTAGGCTTCCATTCAGTCTTTTCCTTCAGGAAATCAATGCAACATATATAGTGTCCCTTCATGTCTTTTTATTTCCACAAGCACTACTGGCGGAGGAGTGGCCCAAAACTGCCAGGGAATTTCCTTGGCTGAGGTGAATTTGAACCTGAGTCTCCCCTAGTGTCAGTTTAGATCCAGCACCATGGCTGTTATACCTCCAGCCAGATCCCTGTCGTTTATTTTCCATGTGGAGAGTGCAAGGCTGAAGAAAATTGTGTTACTAGGATAACATGTAATACTTGTTCTTGCACTACTCAAAATTCCACAAAGGCAGCAAGATGGCTGGTAGAAAAGATGAGAAGGGGCCTCCTTTCTCCAGTCACTTTTTAGATAAACTGAGTTTGAAAAAAGAGAGGGAGAATAACAATGGCGGGTTTCAAAGTGGTTTACCACCGGTTCGATGGGTGTGGCTTTGCGGGTGTGCTTTGCGTGCATGCACACACTTTGCGTTGTGCCAGCCAAATGCACACTTTGTGCACACGCAATCCTTGTCGCCTCAACAGCTGACGCATGGCAATCTGCTGTGCCGCGCAAAGCAACGGCACTTCAAAAGCAGGGAATAAAGGTCAATATGGGATTCCAGGCGGGCAGGTGGGCCCAACAGCAGCTCATCAGAGAGAATCGGTTCAGTATCAACTGATCTTTGGCGCTACCAGTATGCCAGAACTGGGCCGAACCAGTAGAATAGCACCAGTGGAGGAAACTATAGCTTCTGCACCCATCCTTTGCTGGTCAAAACTGAAGATGAAGTATTATAAGTCATATGGGGCTAAGCTTAGAACGGTATTTCTCAATCTTGGCAAATGTAAAATATGTGGACTTCAACTCCCAGAATTCCTCAGCCATCACAGGGATTGGGGAATTCTGGGACTCCACACATTTTAAAATAGCTAAGAACGAGAACCACTAGCTTAGAATATGATTGGTTAGTTTCTACATGTCAAGCAGTGGGATGACTTCAAGGCCCAAGCCAAGAGCTGGCAGTGCCTGCTTGTGTTTTGGAGCAGATAAGGAAGAGGAATTTCCAAGGGCACAGTATTGATAAGCTGGGCTAGGGCTTTTGTTCTTTTTCTGAGTAAATCTTTCTCTATTCCTTTAGGTCTTGGGCATCGTGTTCTCCATGCTGATGTACTGCCAAGTTCGGAGGGTAGAGAAATATTACGACTGACTCCATCCAAGTCCATTCTTTGTCCTTTCAAACTTGGGAACATGAGATGCAGATGGATCAAGAGCACTTTTGCTCGAGGGGTTTTTTTTTTTGCATTGGTCTCTTCCCACATCTTCAATTTCTCTTCTTTAGGCAAAAGCCAGTTCTGACGCTTGGTAGGTTCATACCGTGCATGCAAGAGGGGCCTTCTCTTCCCAGAATAACCAGTTCCCCTGAAGAACTTCATCTGTTTCTGTTGTTCATAAGTTTAACTCTCAAGCAAACCTCTTTACATCTTGACTTCTCCCTATATTTTATAATGTAATCCAATCTCCTGCTTTGTATATAACGAAAATATATCAAGCACCAATAAAATAGTATTTATCTTTTAGAATCTGCATTTGGTACCTGTTATTTCTGTTTTTTTATGATTTAATCACACCTATAACTGGACTTTAAAAAGTCTGGGATGTTGAATAAATAAAACTTGAATTTGGAAGGTAAGAACTTATTCATATTATTCATATCCCATTATCATTTTTCTTGACAAAAGCACAAATGAACTTAATGGCAAAGCAATGTTCCCATTGAAGATTTTTAAAATATGGGAAAAGTGGCAGTATTTCATTGAACAAAATTCCTGTTGCAGCTTTTTCCAAGGTAGGCAGTTATAAGTCACCCTCTTGTCTTTTCATATTACGGGTAGTCCTCAAATTATGACAATTGAGCCCAAAATTTCTGTTGCTAAGCAAGAGAGTTAAGTGATTTTTGCCCCATTTAAAGACCTTTCTTATCACAGTTGTTAAGTGAATCACTGCAGCTGTTAAGTCAGTAACACAGTTGTTAAATGAGTCTGGCTTCCCCATTGACTTTCCTCGTCAGAAGGTCACAAAAAGTGATCACATGGCCCCGGGAACACTGCAACCATCATGAGTCAGCTGTCAAGCATTTGAATTTTGATCACGTGACCATGGGGATGCTGAAATGGTCGTAAGTGTGAAAAATGATCATAAGTCACTTTAGTGCTGTTGTAACTAAACGGTCATTAAATGAACTGTCATAAGCCGAGCACTACATTACTTGGGAGTGCAATTTCAGCGCTTTAACTTTCTGGAAACATCTCTGTGTGTTTTTTTTTTCTATTTCAATTATCTTTCTCCAATGTGTGCTTCAGAAATCCAGGCAAGACAGCCGATTTCTACCCTAAAAACTCAAAAAAAGACAACACAGCAAAAGGAGCTGGTAAAGACAAACTTTTTATTATTATTGGCTTATAGGCTGGCAGGAAGGAGATAAAAACATCCTCTCTCTCTTCCAATTCACCAATCATCTTTGGACAAAAATAGAGGGTTTGAGCCAGAAACGGCTCTTGAAAATCTGATACAAAAAGTAGGGTGAGTTGTTGTGGGATCAGTCCGAGGCTCTACACACAGCCCCTAGACCCTCTTTCACAACTCACCTGCCACAAGGGCACATTTGCACCAACCTCCCTAAAAGTAAAAAGGGCCCTGAAATTCTACTCCTGGAAATGGGGAGATTTATACAAGTGGGAGAGAAGGAAACGAACAGCAGAGTGGCATAGAACCCAAGCCCAGTTTGTGTGCAAAGGATTTTTTTTAAGACACTTAATTGGGGAGGAAAAAAAAGGGAGACGAACAATTTCCAACAACTTGTTGAAGAAGAAAGATTGATTGGTGTGGCAGAGCTATTTTTGTCAGGGTGTCTCTAGTGTTTCTGTCTTTGTGTGAGTCTGTTTTGTCAAGGTGTGTCAGAAGCCCCTCTCAGAAGGGCTGCTCTAGCTAAGGCAGTGTTTTTCAACTGTGGAAAATTTAAGGTGTGTGCTCCCGGAGTTACCCAGTCAACTGTGCCCATCTGTAGTGTGAAATTGAGGTTGCCCATTTTAAATTAAAGCTTGTGGAAGCAAAGGCCGGAGGGACAGAATTTGAACAGTATGGCTTGAGAGGAGCTCTGAACCCTGTCTACCGATTTTTGGTAGTGGAGGAAAATGGTGCCGAGGCAGCAGGACCAACGGCCAGATCTATTAATATTTCCGATGCAGCTTCTGAAAGTCACTCGTATTCAGGCGTGGCCGAGGCAGGTCTCCAAACATCTCGGTGCCATCTGAAACCCGCAGCACCAGAGCTCTCATGCTGGCGGCAATCTTCTCGAGGTCAGGAGACGAATGCTGCAGAGAGAGAAAATGGGTAACTTGTTTGCTTTTTCTCCCGCATCTCCAAACTTCTTCGACTCCCTCTCTTGTTCCTGCTGTCACTGATCATGAGAAATCATGAGAAACCCACCATGAATCTGACTTCTCTTTCACCATTACGGGTAGCCCACGACTTACAACAGTTCATTTAGTGACCGTTCAAAGTTTCAGTGGGACGTGGGACCATTTTTCACACTTATCACCGTTGCAGCATCCCCCATGGTCACATGGTCAAAATTCAGATACTTGGCAACTAACTCATATTTAAGACGGTTGAGTGTTTCCAGGATTTTGGGATTGCTGGAAGTTACAACCGCATAGAAAAAAGTGACTTATGACTGGTTTTCACACTTATGATTGCAGCACCCCAAGGTCACATGAACAAAATTTGGTTGCTAGACAACAGGCATGTATATTTAAGATAGGTATGTGTGTGTGTGTGATCTGATTGCCAGCTGTGACCTCAGCTGTCTGGGGAAAGTTTGGATTGTTTTAACAACCATGCGATTCACTTAACAACTGCAGCGATTTGCGTAACCATGGCAAAAAAGGTTGTGAAATTGGATGTGAGTTATTGCCTTGCTTAGCGATGGGAATTCTGGTCTTAAATGTGATCATGTGTCACGGACTGCCTATATGCCATTTTCCATTACCTGCTTGGAAGGATGAAAGCTTTAACGTGTTTAAGGAACTACAGGCCACTTCTAATTTATCTCCAGAAACTGGTTTGAAGCCCTTTTTGTAAACTCTTATCTTCCGAAGTGTTTATCTAACTGTAAGATCTCCCTTTTCATCATTATACCTGTCTAAGTGCTTTATGGGTAAACGATGTAGGGATCAGTTGAGAAAGAACAAATAAAGCCAAAAGTCTCAACTGAACTAGGCACAATTAAAAGGCCAAGACAGTGGAGAAAGATCAGCGTTCCTTCCAAACTGAAGAATGGACTTCAACTCCCAGAATTCTCAGAAATGGCTATGCTAGCTGTGAAATTCTTAAGACTCCTTCTTAGAATAACAGAGTTGGAAGGGACCTTGGAGGACTTCTAGCCCACCCCCCTGCTTAGGCAGGAACTCCCACACCACTTCAGGCAAATGGTTATACAACATCTTCTTAAAAACGTCCAGTGTTGGAGCATCCACAGCTTCTGGAGGCAAGTTGTTCCACTGATTAATTGTTCTAACTCTCAGGAAATTTCTCCTTAGTTCTAAGTTGCTTATCCTTGATTAGTTCCCACCCATTGCTTCTTGTGCTTTGGAGAATAGCTTGACATATGGATATCAACTTCAAATTCCATATGTCTGAAAACTGCCAAGATTGGAAAACTTTGCATTAGGCTGTCGCGTTGCTATACATTTGCTATTCTAAACTACAAATGAATTGTGAAAAATAAGAGAGTTTGATGGAGCCCAATGCTCTGCTCAGTCCAGGAACCCAAGTTAAAGCATGGCTGACAAAATTGCTTCCTGACTTTTCTTTAAACTTTACCTAGTTCAGGGATCCCACAACCTCTTTGGGTATTGGCTTGAGCTGTTTTGACTGTTAGAAAGTCTTCTACACAATTCAGTCTGACTGTTTTGATCTGCCTTCCTGTAACTTGAGAGCATTTTCCTGTGTTCCATCCTCTGGGAGATGAAGAACAGATTTTTAATCTTTTTTCTGTAAGGCATTCTTTCGGGTTCTAGCACAAATTATACAATGTTCCCCCAGTTTTTATCCAAAGATGTAATTCAGTCCCCGAGCAACTTCCTTTGATGTGTTGCAAATTCCTAGTCTTCCTTAAAACGTGGAACCCAGAACTGCAAAATATACTGACGATTTTTAAACACAAGACTGCATCAAAATCGTACAATTTTTCACTTTTAAAAAACAAGGGGATTTGTACCCCCAAAAAGAGCATAACGTGTATTTTTTCAAGATCACAATCACTTCCAAAAAATGAGGGGAATCCCTTCTTGATGGCATCGCCCCCATCTCTTCTCATGCTGAAAAGACCAGCAGGGAAGTTGAGTCTCTGGTTGGGAAAATGATGCTTAAAAACCGTTAAAGAGTCTAATTCAGGCTCCCCCCACTTTGTTCTCTAATCTTTCTGTCTGCAGACCGAGAGGGGCTCAGCCACAACAATCTCCCCCTCAAAGGATTTTATTACAGGTAGCCCTTGGCTTATGACCACAATTGGGACCAGAATTTCCACCGCTAAGCAAAGTGATGGTGAAATGAATTGTGCCTGATTTATGACCCCCCCCCCGCCACAGTTGTCAAGCAAATCTCTTCAGTTAAGTGAAACATGTGGTTGTTAAATAAATCCAGCTTCCTTCATTGATTTTTTTTGTTGGAAGCTGGCTGGGGAAGTGGTAAGTGGTGATCATATGACCCTGGGACACTACAATTGTTGTAAATAAATGCCGGTTTGACAGAATTTGGATCACTAACCATGGGAATGCTGGGGAGATTATAAGTGCAAGGACCAGCTGCAAGTCATATTTTTCAGTGCCGCTGTAGCTCTGAACATTTGCTAAATGAATGGCTATAATTCGAGGACCACCTGTACTTTGTCAGGAAGGCTCCAAGGGCAGCCAAGGAAAAGGAAAGGGTCCCGATAGCTCCCCCCCCCGAGGATGGCCTCTCAAATTGGACATCCTTACTTTGACCCACCTTACTGTTCTCTTCGTCAGAGGATCGTATCTCTTGGCGTTGTTCTTTAAAGCCCCAGATGGGCACGGAGACAGGGAGGGATTTGGCATACTGATGGCTTGGGGGTGGAGGAGCTGTCTGTCCTGGAGCCTCCTCACTCAGACTCCCATCTGAGAAAAAGTGGGGATTCGGGGTGTGGGGGGGAAAAGCTTAGACCAACTGAGCAACATTTGAAAACAGCGAGCTGTGAGCATCCAAAGCCTGATCAAAAGTAGGATTGGCCTGGTTTAGATTAATCCCTTTGATTTTATTGAATTACAACTTCCAGAATCATTAATCTTTGGCCACATTTGGATGAGACTACCGGGAGTTGCAATTCAACAATATTTAGAGCAGAGGTAGACAACCTCTTAAGGCAAAGGCACACCTGGAATTTTGACAGCATGTGGCAGATGTACTTTCACAGCCCGTCACAAAACACTCATTTACTAGGATGTTCTCTATCATGCCTTGATAAGCTCAAGGGGGATTCCTGCAAATAGATAACAAAGCAGCAGGCATTGTTGTGCAGCATGCTGCCTTCCTTTTTTCTTATGACAAGCCTCTTTCAAAAAGTGGGTAGCAATGGAAGGGTCTAGCAACACACCCATGACTACAAGCTTCCTCAGATACCCCATCTCTCTCAACTTTATCCAAAAGAATTTCCAAGTGTGTACAAGAATTTTTGGCATAGATTGTATCTTCTTGAGGATATTTTTTAATCAAATAATATTTGAAATGCTTCAAATAATATTTGAATGTTTAGACCTGGCCAAGGCTACTCTCATTCAGCACTTCTCCATATTCTGTTTCCTGAAAATCCCAGGAAGCCAGTAGAGCAATTTTTGATTGCTCAGTAGAGCAATTTTTAATCTATAATTTAAAACTTCCTCTCACCCTGCAATAGTGTCAATTCCAAAGAGAATATGGAAGATCTTGAAAAGACAAATGAAATGAAGCAACTCTTGGGGTTTCAAATACCACTATAGTCAATTAATGAAGTTTCCATTTATGGCAGCCACCCTTAATCTGGCATCTTCCAATCATATTGCAACTACAGTTCCCAGAATTCCCAGCTTGTATGGCCAAAGATAGGAAAACCTGATTGATGGTTTGAATACTGTTAAATTGGAGATGGCTGTCATAACGAATTCAAGCTTCTAGCTTTTGAAAACTAAAAATGAAAACTCAAGTGATAATATGCAGTATATACAAAAGTGTCAAATGTATAAACAGCAAGAAGTTATAACCTGTAATATACAAATTGTGGAGAATGACAATATAAAGAAAAAGTTGAGAACAAGCTTTTCCAACAAAGTAAACTGAATCCACTTAACTATGCCTAGCAGTCTCATTAAAGACTAATTAGACCAAGCAATCAAGGGAGCCAACTGGGTAGAGGAGACAAAACTGCACTTATTAGGTGAATCTCTACTTAATTATCCTTCACATTTATATCCTTTCTCCAAGGAACAGACAAAGGAGTTCCCCCTTTCTTTCTCTTCTCTAAACAAATTTGCAAAGTATACCAGACTAGCCAAAGTCATTCAGTGAATGGCTGAACAGGCTTCTTTTTTTGTCCTCTTGGCCACTAAAACTATGCTTGTTACAGTACAGGTAGTTGCAGGATCCAATTGGGGGTCAGTCAACCAAAGAATCAAAGGTTTTGTCTTCAGAGCTTCTGAACTCGTGCTGGAGCCCATCTTCAGGGGACTTCTCCCTACCAAAATGTGTGCTGTTCTGTGTGTGGTAAATATAATGCTTGTTATAAGTGGTTTTTTAGATGTTGATTGGGGTGTGTAGTTGGCTGGCTTTTAAGTCATTAGCTGTTGTTTACTTGTGCTGCCCAGCCCTCGCCTTCTAAGTACTTGATATGCTGGTGGTAAATCAACACTCCTGTTGACAGACAAGAGGCCTGTTTCCCAGGCTTCAATCACTTCCTGGCTGTTTTTGTGCCTGTTTGTCCAACAATCTTAGTAGCTGCAAAATTGAATGTGTCTCCTTGTTCATGGCAATGTGAGGCTTTCAATGAGTTCGGGTCTCCTTGTCTGACTGCTTGCTTGTACTCTCGTAATCTGGTGATTAGCTTCCTCCCAGTTTGTCCTACATAGTCAGAGGGGCAATCCATGCAGAGGATTTGGTAGATTACACTGGAAGTATCGCCCACGTCAAAGCAATCATTGGTCTTTTATCTTGTCCATGGTAGGGAGAGAAAGGAAGAAAAAAAAGTACAAGACCAAACACATGGCATATCCTGCCATACATTAAAAAACATTTAGGAAGCTGTAGAATGCAGCTTCTGAGAGCTGCAAGTGGAAATCACACACTGCCCAGAGGTTGCCATATGAGGACAAATTATGCATTGTAAAGATTGCTTGGAGGTGGGAGATACTTCCAATGTAATCTACAAAATCCCACGCATGTATTGCCCCTCTGACTATGTAGGACGGACTCGGGGGAAGCTAATCACCATACTGCAAAAACATAAGCGAGCCGTCGGACAAGGAGACCCAAACTCACTGGTATCCTTACACTGCCATGAACAAGAAAACACATTCAACTTTGCAGTTACTAAAATTGTTGGATGAGCAGGAACAAAAACAGCCAGGGAAGGGATTGAAGCCTGGAAAACAGGCCCCTTGCCAGTAAATAAGGAGTGTTGATTGACCATCAGCCTATCAAGTACTGGTAGTATGAGCTACAGTAGTGCAGTGGTTAGAGTGCAGTACTGCAGACTACTTCTGCTGACTGCCAGATGCCTGCAATTTGGCAATTCAAATCTCATCAGGCTCAAGGTTGACTCAGCCTTCCAAGGTGGGTAAAATGAGGATCCAGTTTGTTGTGGGCAATATCTGACTCTGTAACCACTTAAGAGAGGGCTGTAAAGCATTGTAAAGTCTTATATAAATCTGCTATTGCTACTGCTACTTAGAAGGCGAGAGCTGAGCAGCACAAACAAATGAAGGCTAATGACTTAAAAGCCAGCCATCAAACACACATAAAAAGCCACTTACAACAGGCACTATTAATACCGCACACAGAAGAACACACATTCTGCTAGAGAGATATTCTCTGAAGATGGGCTCCAGCATGAATCCAAAAGCTCGGAAGACAAAACCTTTGATTCTGGTGACTGACCCAGGTTGGATCCTGCATCATTACCCTGGGACACATATATTTGCTTTAATTTGTGAGTACAGATAGTTCTCTATTTACAATTCATTTACTGTTTGTTCAAAGTTACAATGACACTGAAAAAAATGACTTACGACTGTTTTCACATTTATGACCATTGCAGCCTTCATAGTCACATGATCAAAATTCAGGCACTTGGCAGATGACTCATACTTATGACAGTTGCAGTATCCTGGGATTATGGGATCACCTTTTGTGACCTTCTTACAAGCAAAGTAAAGCCAGATTCACTTAACAACTGCAGTGATTCACTTAATAACTGTGGTAAGAAAGGTCATAAAATGGGAACTTCCGGTTTGAGCTTCTTCGGCGACAGACCGAAACCTCGTCTCTCCGAGGCTTCGATCCGTGCTCGCTGCTGGAGCCCCCCGAGCCGGCTGGTTTTGGGGCTAAGCCACCCCATAGAGGTGGTGAAGAGGCGGGAGACTGCCTGCAGGGTTGAGAAGAGCCGCATCTCTCCTCCCCAACTGGCCATTACTCCCTTTCCCGAAGGCGGTTGTAGCGGTGGTCAAAAATGGCCACCACAAAGAAGAACTCGACCGGAAAAGAATGTGCAGGGGGAAGATAAAAAGAGAAAATTTTGGTTGACCGGGTCAAACAGCAAAAGCAACAAATAAGGTACCCTGGAATTTAAACTTAACAACATTGTTTCCAAAGAAGATTTTGAAGCTGCGAAGGAGAGAGAGAAGGGAAAGGATTAGGTTTTTTTTTCTTCCCTTCCTTATACTGATTGCTAAGAGACTTAAGCAAGAAATTGAAAAAAAATCCACTTTGACATTAATAGGCATCTAAGCTGAAAATAAAAGTCAAAGGGATAATAAAGATTTCTGGACATTTAAAAGTTTTTAAAAGCAGGAAAGGAGAAAAAAAAAGAATAAAAGGGCAGGATCTGGAAAAATGGAGGAGACTGCCTCGAATTAAGGAATGGAACTGTAATTAAAAGGAACTTACAGTGAAATTTTAACAAGATTCTTCAGAGATACATTTTAATTGAAACTTGGTAACAAAATAATAGAACCCCAGGAAGAGAAAGTAGAAAAAAGAAGCAAGTAGAAACAGCCTTGGATTATTTGGTGATTTTTGGTTTTTGCATCTAGATGACTAAAATTAACCGGGTGGTTGTTTAAAAGTTTTTAAAATGGTATCACTCTTAGAAGAACTGAAAACGGAACTTAAAAAATGGAAAGAAGATGCACAAGAAGGGAGAAGTTCTTTTGGCTTCGTGTTTCAATTTTTAGAAATGGAGATCTGGAACTATGAGAAGCAACAAGAAATGCTTGCAGAACAAGAAGATTGGGACAAAGAAGAAGCCATCTTTAATGATCAAATAATTTTAAGTGGGGGGAAAAAAGAAAAGGGGGGAAAGAGAGTGAAAGGTATAAGACTAGAAAAAACAACCAAAAAGAAGAACAATTTGAAAGATAAGTGTAATATTAGAAAGCAACAGAAGAGGGGATTACAGATGAGAGAGTTAAACATAGAGAGACGAGGGGGTAAAAAGGGGAGGGAGAAGAAGAGGGGGAAGAAGGCAAGGAAAAGAAGTTGTAAAAAACAGAAACAAGAAATGGAGAAACAGAGAAAAGATATAAGGATTGTATCCATAAGCTTGTTTAGAGATAATGGGTGAAAATTTAATTGCAAAAGGGATTCTGCAAAGGTACATAAGATGGCATTGTTATATTACAAATAGAAATAATTTTAGAAAATATGATGATCGATAAAATATTTACTGTAATGTAGTGGGATGTTTGTTAATAAATAAATGAATTAAAATGATTGAGAGAATTAAAAGGGAACATTTTTAATTATTAGTAATGATTTATAAAAATATAAGTGAGAAATATGGAAAAAAAAGAATTAACTATGGAAAGTTTATAAGTGTTCCCAAGGAAGTATGATATTTAATTGAAAAGAAATGTTAAAGATGTTAAGATGTTAATGCATATTAATGATAGAATTGAATTGGAATGTGTGTTTTATTTACATATATATATAATTTTTTCTTTTTAAGAATATAGTCTCTATTTTAAGAATGTACCAAGCAGAACTCGATTTGAAGTTATGTATTATATTGAATGCTATAATCTTAAAGGTATACATTGAAGCTTAAATAAGAGTGTGAATAGATAAAATTAAAGGATATAAAGGTGTCATACTCTAATTGGTAACTACAGGGAAAAATTTGCTTAATAAGAAAAGATAATGTGAAATTGAAACAGGACAGACAAAAGTATAAATATAATGATTTGAATTGAGATGAGATAATTAAAACAAAGTTGAGAAAATTAAAATAGGGGAAAAACTATGTAGAAAATATAAAATGGTAATAAGATATGGAATAGAATATAAAAATGAGCATGAAATTGAGTTTGTATGAAGAAATGATAACCTGGGACCATGCTATTTTCAAAAAAGATGTTTTATTTGTATTTTGTTTTTGTGAAAACCCAAATAAAATTTTCAAAAAAAAAAAAAGGTCATAAAATGGGTCAAAATTCACTTAACAAATATGTCATTTAGCAACAGACATTTTGTGGTTGTAGGTCGAGGACTACCTGTAATTGAACTTCACTGGGCTTGTCAAGAAGATCCTTAACAACGAAAGAGGATTTCATGGAAGAAGCTGAAACCAAAAATTAACAGGTGGTTTGGACTGATTCAGTAGACCTGGATCATTCTGAGAAGGGAGGATTACCTATTCCGCAGGCAGAATAGGGAAAAATGCAAAATGATTAGTTGGGCTCAGTGTTTTCTCTCTTACAATGCTACTCCACTCACCGTCAGTGCTTTCCACATCAGAATCAAAAAAAGGCTCATAATCTTGGCTTGGAGAATCTTCATCCATCACAAACAGACCTAGAAATTGATAGTTATCTTAAAATATAGAATGACAGTGGCTGTCCATACAAGATCCCTCATGACACACCCCGGTCCCTCGACATAAATGTTCATTATCATATCAGGTGAATGGAAATACTGCCTTTCTCATAACATCATTTCTTTTAGAATTAAGCTTTTTGTATCCAAAAATAATACCATCACAGTTGGAAGATATCAACAAGTTTGTATTGCATTCCAAGGTTTTCTAAAGAGAGCACAAGTAATGGTGTTGTGTGTGTGTGTTTGAAACAAAGACCAGTTTGAACCAATCATGCCCAATAGTTTTCAGCAACTGACTTGGAACCTGAAACAAAGCCCACTTCAATGGTTGCTTGAAGGTCCTACCTTTTATTTTGATTTATAAATTTCCTTGAAGGCAAAGACAGAAAGTATACCCCAACCCTCAGGTGAGGCAAGAACAATATGAAATGGAGGAATGGATGGAGAAGGAAAATAAGTACACTGTGAACAAGACGTCTTAATAGCTGAATAGGCCTGCTCTGATTAGTAAATGTGGGTTGAAGTTTACATTATTGCAAATAAATGAATCTGTGGACCTCCCTTTCACACAGACTTCTTTCATGTCAGCAGATAAAAGAAATGCACTTAAAATATGAAAAGCCAATTTTAAAAGGAAGGTATTAACTGGACGACATTAAAGAGAGCCAGGATAATACAATGGCTAAAACAGAAAGTGTTAGGCCATGAGTTCTAGTTCTCCCTTAGGCAGGGAAGTCAGTTAGAAGACTTTGAGTCAATCTTTTCAGCCTAATCTACCTTACAGGATTGTTGTTTGGGGAAAATAGGAGATTGGAGAATTATGCATGCTATAAAAATGTATTTTATAATTATGTGTAAAATAAAGGTGGGATATGTCAAATAATGTTATAGCACATATATTTCGGCTTATACAAGTGGTTCTCGACTTACAACCATCCATTTAGGAACCATTTTACAATGACTATGATAATGATTTATCACTATTGTTGTATGTACACTGAGAGCACTGGAGACAAATTCTTTGTGTGTCTAATCACACTTGGCCAATAAAGAATTCTAAAATTTGAACGGCACTAAAAAACAACTTATGACTTACAATGGTCACAGCATCCCCATAGCCATGTGATCAAAATTTGGGCACTTGGCAACAGGCATTTATGATGCTTGCAGTGTCCTGGGATCATGTTTGCAACTTTCCCAGAGCACTTCTGACAAGCAAAGTCAATTGGAGAAGTTGGATTCATTTAACAACTGTGGCAAAAAGATCATAAATACAGACATGACTCACTTAATAGCCACCTTGCTTAGCAATAGAAATTCTGGTTCCAATTGTAGTCATAAATTGAGGACTATCCATATAACCCTCAATGCAGCTTATAAAGTTATAGCAAAGAATAAAATATGAAAACAATAAAATCAAAAACAATAGTTAAATGGATTAGCAAAAAAGATTATTTTTTTATTCACTTAAACTCTAGAAGAAGGGGGGGGGGGCAAACAGGCTTCCCTGGAGATAGCATTTCATACATGACATATACATGCATACTAATATTCTCAGGCAATAAATGTTTCTGTTCCTTCTCTGAACTTTGGCTGTCATGAATTGCTCCACGGTTACTTGCTGAACAACCAGAATCAGAATAGTTTGAAGGAGGAATGCAATATTTTGGGATGTTAGGCTTTGCACAACTAATGACCTATTTTTCAAGCAAATCGAAATATACTGTCGATCAGTGCGATTGTTAGACCTAATTCTAGAGAGACTGTGGTTTCATCCCTCAGTCACAAATCTTGTTTAAATTAGTTATTGCCTTTTAGTCTATCTCAAAGAGGCGTGATAAGATAACAACAGTGACTGCGGTAGATTGTTTTAACAGAGACTGCATTTTAACAGAGACTGCGGTAGATTGTTTTTTAAACAACTTATGTTTGGTCTCAAGCACTCCTAATGCCACATGCCTCTGTTTGAATATTAAGGTCAACAAAAGAGCCCTTCTTAAAGACATCCCTCTGGCCTTATTTTCTGAGCTCCATTTGTTGGGCTTCTATCTTATTTCCAAACTGTAAAATGCATTTCAAGGAAAATCACACTCCTGCTCTTTCCACTTTTATGAAAGGAATCCAGAACTTTCCCTTCAGATTTTTCAATTTCAACTTTCTTAATAATTCCTGTAATTGTTTTATGTTAACGTGTTCTGGCCTTTTGAGTGCTTTATGGGAGGATATGTAAAATGTAAAGCAGGACAAATGGTAGAAGGAAACCAAATTGGCCTGAAAGGAGGACGGAATAAAACCATGCCCATCCAGCACATCTGCAGGTCCTCCACTGCTGGCACTGCTAAGAGCATTCAGGCCAACTGACGAAGACTGAAATCTGGCTGCAGCCTGCAGGAAATTAACTGTGCTCCACAAGATAGATTCAGTGACTCAAAATGGAGACATGGGACAATGTACTTTGCAAGCTGCAGACCAACAAGCCTCTTCACACAAGCCAACAATCTTGGCTAGTATCAAATGGATTCTCCTAAACCGGGAAGCTAAAAATCATCTTTCTAAGTTCTTCAGGCTTCACTTGGGACAGTTGTGTGCATTGAACGACAGCAAGAGAGGCTAAAGGTTCAGAGGGCAAAGTACAAAGAAACACCCAACATATAGCCACTTGATGCAGTAGCTAAGACTAGAAGCCCTCAAAGTATTCCATCTTCTTTTTCAGCTGTGCACTCACAACTGGCTTCTACTCCAATCTCGTTCCGTAGAATGAGTGAAATGCCTTTAAGAATTCTGAGAATTCTCAAATTAAGCTACATGAAATGGTTCTCAGCACCTGAAAAAGTGGTATCTAAATGTAATTTATTACAACTATAAAACTGATACCAATTATTGGGACTATATAAATTCACATACTTGAAATAGCCGTGCTGTATTTTTTAAAATACAAAACTAATTTGAAATATTAAACTTCCATATATCAACCTATCAATGAGATATTCAGCTGAGGCTTGGCTCTGAGCTGCAGCAGATAAATATTGGGCCTTTTTGGCAGAAGATCTCCGATTATGGAACACTCATTCATCTAGTTTCATTTTGTTCCCAAAATGAAATTGCTCTCCATTTTTATTAAAAAATTGCTTTTTCAGGGGACCTTTAAACGATATTATTTCATTTTTTCCCCTTTCAAGCTCTGACAATTGATTATTCTGCTTCCCATTGGTTTATTAGCTATAATAAAATTACCCTGTTAATTTTTTTTTGCTTATAGATTTGCAAGTCCTTTTTAACAGAAAAATAAAATATGAAGGCCAAAAAGGAGGGAGAGAGATGAATACAAGGGATTATGCATAATCGTGTATTCACTTCATTCTCAAACTGCTACCCACTGTTCTGTCAAACCTAATACCTTAAGATATGCCTTCTCACTTCAGCAGAGGCAAGTTTTGTCACAACTGTAATGATAGAAAAGGAAAAGTGCTACTAGTACACAGTTAGTGTGTATCCTGCTAAAGAATGTGATGCGAAGCTAGTGCCTTCAGGCATGTTACTAAGCCTTAACCCAATGTGGCTTTTCTTATACAAGTCTACACTGTTTGTTCTAAAACTATGTTTAAGCAAGTCAAAGTTTGGTGCAATGTATGAATCAGGTTACTTTTCTTAACAGATCCAGTTAAAATACAGGTAGTTTTCAACGTGCAGCAGTTCATTTAGTGACCGTTAAAAGTTACAATGGCACTGAAAAATGTGACATATTACCATTTTTCATTGTTACCACCTTTGCAGCATCCCCATGATCATGCTATCAAAATTCAGATGCTTGGCCACTGGTTCATATTTAAGATTGTTGCTGTTTCCCAAGGTCATGTGATCACTTTTTGTGACCTTCTGACAAGCAAAGTCAATGGGGAAACAAGATTCACTTACCAATCAGGTTACTAATTTAACAATTGCAGTGATTCACTTAACAATTGTGGCATGTAAGGTTGTAAAATGGGACAAAACTCACTTAAATGTCTCATTTAACAGAACATTTTGGGCTCAATTATGGTTGTAAGTTGAGAACTACCTGTATCGTTCACTACACTCTTTTAATATTTATTGTGGACCTACTTTCAGGCATCTGGTGGTTGGATTTTAACACCCCGGGGTCTTCTATCCAGATGCTGGCTCGCAGGTCCTGGGAGTTAAAGTCTGACACATCTGGAGAATAACTGACTGGGATTTGTTATAGAACTTTTTAAAAAAAGCAGTGCATATCAACAGCCATAGGTCTCTCTCTCTCTCTCTACCTTTTTGCCTGGGGTGTCAAACTGGTGGCCCATGGGCAGGATGTGTCTCGTGCAGGCCAGACCTACTCTAGCCCCGCGAATGGGAAAAACATTGTGAAAAGTGATGTGGTGGCATGCTCTATGCTGTAATTTCCACAGTATTGTCCAAGCCTGGCTTTTCAAGTAAAGCTTTGGGGTAAGCAGCCCACTGGGTTGATATTTGACATATATTTATTGCAGACTACTTGAAATTATTTATAGAAAAACAAGCTATAAATGCCAACTTGTTGTGCAGAGACCTACCAGTAGTGTCACTAGGAGGTTCTCTTCCACTGGGTTGTTCCAGTTCAGTCAATGTATTTCTGTCACCTTCATCATCTTCATCTTCACGTTCTTGGCTTCCCGAAGCCTGAGGCAGACCTCCTTGGAAGGCTGGTGTCCTGTGTGGGGCAGATTCATCTGGAGCATAAGTAGGAGGGTAACTTTGGGAATAGGATCCTTGTGGGGGAGGTGGATGAGGGTTTGAGGGAGGGCGGGCAGCATAGGTAAAAGCAGTGGTTTTATGAACCACTGCAATATCTTCGAGGTAGCTTTGAACGGCATCTGCTAGAGCCCCACTCCCATGCTGCGTATAGCTGTAGTTGCCAGGAGGTGGTGCCTGGAAAGCAGTGAGCAAAACAATTTCGTTGCCTGTTTTACGCCGGTATTGTTCTGCTGCAGCCACCAAGGCTACCCAATTTTCTTTATGATTATCTGCCATATCTGTCATCCTGCAGTCAAACAAAACAAGGAGATTAAACGATTGCACAGTGGAACTCATTCATAGTTAAAAAAACGAGCCGATGAAAATAATATTCACAGGAAGAAAACAAACACCTGTTTCTAAGCGACACAAATACCGCACTGCAACAGGCATTCCAAATTCACAAAGACAGCTTCTGCTGCCTATGGTTGTTTTTGCCCAGTTAAAAAGCAAACTACTTTTAGTCAATTTGCCTAACCAATTAATCAGCTGTATGTCACAGCCCAGGTTTGCCCTGGGGCACTTTTATGAGACCAGGAATGCATAGAAGGCCAAGAAACCTGGACTGCCTCAGAGAGGGAATTCAGCTTAGCAACGTAACCAGGGCCTGGATTCAGAATACCTGGAGCAGGAGTTAAAAAGAAAAAGTTAAGAAGCCGCCATGAACAGCCTGTATGAGAAGCAAGAGAAACCACAGCACACCTGGAAGAGCCAAAGAAGCGGGACCCCTCTGGCTTCTTTCAAGAGCTTGCAAGAGGCAAGCAAGCAAGCAAGCAAGCAAGCAAACCACGATTGTGTGCAGAGCAGAAAGTGGGGTTCAAACAATCAAGACCGCTCTGGAAAAGAGCATGCACAGGATGTGGGGTAAAGAGGGGGCTATGCAGGGAGGAAAGCCCCCTTTTCCAACGGGGCAGAGCTAAAAAGGGCACAAAAGCAAGTGATAAAGCCCTGGGATAAAAACAAGGGGGTGGACACATACCGACAGACAGCACTGTGAGGAAGAAGGGAGCCCCCCCCCCCGGCACAAATCTTTCCTTTCTCTCCCCAGCCCCCCCGAGCAGGGCTCCGAAAGGAAGCGGCGGGAGGGGAGGGTGACGCATATTACCTTCTCCTACCTCTTCTTTTTTCCCCCCTCGCTTAAGCACCGGAGACCCGTTCCCTCCCAGCCCCCTTGGGGGTCAGCAGCCGGAATCCTGACCTCTCACCTTTAACCCTTCCCAGGACACTTATGCCGCCCCCTCCTCCTCTTCTAAACAACAATCGCCCCCTCCCCACCCCCAAGGCTCCGCCCCCTCCTCCTCCTTTTCTAAACAACAACCGCCACCTCCCCCTCCCCACCCCCAAGGCTCCGCCTCCTCCGACCGCCCTCATAAGATATGAGACCAGCGCCCACACGCTGCCCTTTTCAAAGATGGAGGGCGTGGAACAAAGGAGGGCGTGTGGGGGAAGCAGGAAAGGAGTTGAGAACGCCGATTAGCCTTCTTATGCCCGACCCAAAGATGGCACCGGAAGGGGAGCTTTTCCTCGTACGCATGCGTGTGGTTGTTTATGAAACCCAGTTCACATTAAATATTAAATTCATTTATTTATTTAATTTTATATTTTAAGGGCTATCAAAATCCGAATGGCGGCGAAGAGATACCGATAATTCTAGAGAGGGCATATTATAAGAGAGAGAGAAAGCTACATGTTACTGTGAATTTAGTAGGAAAACCGCCGAACTTTGTATAAGCAGGAGGCGAGAGAGGGACTCAAGATACCCACGTGAAAGTGGAAGAATCTCAAGTTTAAAAGAATCTGTTTAAATTTAAAACATGGCACTCTCGCACAGAATTTCAGCACTCGATTTAAACCGTATCCGCCAGGAGTCACTAGTGGATTGCTACAGGCAAGGCGACTAAAAAACCCTGCACATTCCTAAGAAATTGTTGCTATGTTGCAGATATTCTAAAGAACAGCAGGTGACAGCAAAGAGACAGAAGCTTCTAGGCCAACGTTTATCAATCTTGGCTACTTGAGGATTTCAACTCCCAGAATTCTACACAATTTAAAGTGGTCAAGGTTGATAAAACGTGCTCTAAGCCAAGGGTCTCCAACCTTGGCAACTTTAAGACTTGTGGACTTCAACTCCCAGAATTCCTCAGCCAGCAAAGGAATTCTGGGAGTTGAAGTCCACTCGTCTTAAAGTTGCCAGGGCTGGAGACCCTTGCTCTAAGCTACTTGCTGCCACCGCCTGGTCAGACTTGGGAGTCTTTCGTTGCTCATTCTGGAGACTGAGATCCCTCCGTGCTTGCCTTATTTTACCTAATCTTATTATTGATATTATTCTGATTTATTTGCTTGGTTATGTGAGCTGTAGATAGTCACTGAGAACTGGGCGGCAGTTATTAGGGTTCCTTGTACAGCCAGCCAGATATTTAGACTGGATTTGGCATTTTTGTCCACCTATTCATCCTTCGCAAGAATCTAGGATAGGTATCTCTTGTTTGATGGCGCTTAGCAGAAAAGATATATACTGAATCACCATCAGCATCAAACACTTCTGCTTCTAGAATACGATGCTATCGAGCATTTTACAATTTCATCTTCCAAGTATAGTATGTGAACTTCGCCTCCCAAAACACCCCAGCCAACATGGCCACTTTGTTACGAATTCTGGGAGTTGAAGTTTCAGAAAGCACCCCACTCGGAAACTCTGCTCTTAAAAGTTTGCAAGTGATTTGTCATTTGATAGAAAGTGAGAAGGATTCACTTTCTCTCTTCTACAAGATTAATTTCATATATGATTATTTCATTCAATAAAATCCCCTTGCTTGGAGTGCGTCCTTTGGTAATAATTGCAAGATAAACTTTAGATGAGCTTCAAATAGCTAACGGGCATAATTTTCTTGGTAATAATTTATTGGCATTACTCTCCCCCCGATATCTACTCTTGATATTGTTTAAAAGGCTCCCAACCACATTATAACTTATCCTGGTCGGACCCTAATTTAGCTTCCGAGGCCAAAATCACCCTGATGTTTTCATGTGCAGCCTCCCTAGTTAAATCATAAAATATGTTTTCTATTTCATGCCTTATTAAAGTTCTTCGAATGTGTAAACATTCCTTAACCGGTGCATAATTATTTAATATTACTTGCACACTGGCGACAAAGTCATGTTCAAAGATCCAGTCATTTTGACCTTTCCAAAGATGGCGCCAAAAGCTTCACTTGCGTTTTCAAACAAGACATCCCCGTTCCAAGCTTGAGGTTTTTTTTTTCCGCGCCAGAAACAATGATGGCGTCTTCAAGAAACGATAAAAATAGAAAGCCACTCTATGAAAAGGGCGGGGTGGTTAATTGGAGCAGGAAACGACGTATTTGTTTTTCAGGAAGTAGCTGTCAGGCAGAATGGAGTTAGGGGGCTGCAGGGTAAGAGAGGCCTTTAATCCTCCAAGGTGGTGCTCATTAGGCTCCCCGAAGCAAAAATGGGCTGTCGCAGGAAAGAGAATTGAGGGTTTTTCCCCCAGCATGAGCCGAAAATGATTCCCCGGGAGGCGAGGGCCGGCTGTGTTACTCCGTATGGAAGCTCTGGTTTGTTAAAAATGGGGAAATGTGCTTTCTTCCGCCTTGGAAGTTACAAGGAAGACGTGATATTCCTCCTAGATGTATTGAGACTCCCCCCTGGTAGTATGTAGAGGTTGTCTATCACTGTTACCGTTATGTAAAATGCCCCTCCCCCTTTTGTTTTGGAGTTGTTTTGAGGCTTTGACAATAAACCATTAAAGAAGTTTGTATTTTGTTGCCTGAGCTTCACATTGGGGAAAAAGCTGGAGGAATGGAATTCTGGTCCTTTTCCTGCCCCTTCCATTTCTTTTCTTCTGACTTTTTGCAGATTGCGTTTGAGAAAGATGGAGTCTATTTACACACCAGTGCAAAGCGGCATCCTGACCAGGATTCCCTCATACCTGGAGTTATCCGCATCATTGAGAAGGTGAGTTGAGACAGGTTGCCTATTGGGTTGTAAACTGAAGCAAGTTGGCTGTATGGTCATGGTGAGAAAATTGGTTATATTGGGGCATTGAAGTATTGTATTGGTTATATTGGGGCATCCTGTTCAGTCTTATTTGCCATTAAATGTATGGGCCAAAGCAGGCCCAAGACTTTTCTCTTGCTTTTTGGATGCTGGAGGACGAATCTGAGGCCTTTGTAGCTTTATAATATTGTCTAATTGTGACATTATGGTTAAAAGTAGTTAGGATTAATTTGAACACAACTGGTCAGAATAGCGGAAGCTTTGTATTTGAGTCCAAGGTTTTCTACAGTTCATACTACAAGTTATCCTTAATTAGTAACTACAGTTGGGTTACTTAAGCTAACAAAACATCACAATGTTATGATCTTACTTCAGTTTTCCTTTGCTTTGCAGACCTGAAAAAGCTGTAAATGTGAGGTTTGATTGCAAAGTTACTTTTTTAACACTATCGTAATTGCAAATGGTAGCTAAATCATGCAGTTGTTAAATGAGGACTACCTGTATGCGATATTAATGCATATGCACAAGTAGTAGTTTATGTAGTACATAAAATATTTAAATATTTCACAAGAAATTTTAAGTTTCCCACAATTTTATGATTTAAGAAGTGCACATCAAAAAGCATTAGGTAGTTTGTGATGATATTTTAGAAAACAAAGTGGGGGATGAACAGTATTTCAGTGTTTATGCATCAGCTGCTTTTCAAGGAGGAAACACGTGAAATTCAGCACTCATTTGATCACTTAAATTTCAAAATTTAAAAACCAAGTTTCGGGATGAGGAATTTTGTTGGAATATTTTATTGTAATGTTGCTTCCTTTTTATTCAGGGTTCAGATACTTTACTACAATGGACCCCTGTGGAAGAATCTTCAGATACTGCTCAGATTACGTACACTAAAAAGGTAAGCTTTCTGCTGATTTAATCTTCTACCTATATATATTCAGTATATTTGCTCTCTATATTTTGGCAGAAACAAAAATACATTTCTTTATATTGGAGGTTTTTCTTGTTTAATCACTGTATAGGTTGCTTGTTCTTTACAGAGCAATATGTTATGGTATCCTTTCAGTTTATATAAAAGTTTTAAAAAACCTCAGTCTTTAGAAGAAAATAGTTACAGGAATAAAGAATAATGCTAGGATTTCAACTATACATGTTTTCAATGCTACTAGAATTACTGTGCAGGTAGTCCTTGAGTTATGATTGTAACGGACCCTGCCAATCACAGTTGTAACTTGTAACAGTTGTAAAATGGGTCAGTAACATGTAAGACATAATTTTACAGGCTTTTTCAGCAGTCATTAATCAAATCAATGGTTTGCTATGGATGCAATTTTGAACAGGACTTAAAGGAGCATTTAGAAGATATTATGAGGGACATATTTTAAAACACTGAAATGTCCTCTAATCTTGTTTTCTCTTTACTAGGATACCATTGGGTCCCAAGCCGAGGAAGAACACTTTGATCCAGGATATGAACCAGACTGGGCCGTAATCAGTACAGTGGGGACAAGATCTCGGGTCCAGGAGGAAACAGCTGGTAAATTGAAAGAGGAAGCGCTAGTGTCCTCTTACAAATTTTGGTTGTGTGTATCTAGGTTTACT